AGGTAAGAGGCTTGAGTTGCTGTTCAAACAGGTTGTGCAAGGTCTCTAGTTGTTCCTTAGTGAAGGGACTAGAGGCAGGAGCTGGTGCTGGTGTCTTGGTAAGGTTGGTTGCAGTATTAGCCCGGCTGTTGTGATCCTTTTCAGAACGTGGCTTCCAATCTGCATGTTTGCCATGGATTTTCCAGCAGGTCTCCTTGTAGTGTCCTGGCTTCTTGCAATGGTCACACCATGGTCTCCCTCGTTGTGGTCGGTTGTCTAAGTTCGTGCCATGTGCAGCAAGTGCAGATCCTTCAAGGTTGGATGTAGGAGGGGATTGGCCGAGCATAACCTTCTTGCGGCTTTCTGGCTTTCTTCTCGCCTGACTTCAGAGAATGTTTCACGGAGTTTGGGAAGAGGCTTGATTCCCATGACGCGTCCTCTGACTTCATCCAGGTTCTTTATTCAGATCAAGGAGGAACTTGAATGTCCGTTTTTGTTCCAGAATTTTCTTGAATAAAGTTGCATCGTCTGAACACGTCCAGGGGTAGACCTCGAACATGTCTAGGTGTTGCCAATAGCGAGTGAGAGTATTGAAGTATTGAGTAATAGAGAGTTCACCTTGGCGGAGGTCATGAGGTTTGGATTCGACCTCAAATAATTCTGATGTATTCTCTGAACTGGAATATGTTTCTTTGACAGCATTCCAGACAGTGTTGTAAAAAGCGGCAAAAAGTGGTGCTATCGCGGCACGAATCGCGAAAGCGGGGCATCAGCGCTACGCGTAAGGTATTAGCGGCTTGCTTAAGCGGTAAAAACCGCTTTGTGTTCGAATTACGCGATTTAGCGGGTTTTAGCGGTTATAAGTGCTTAAAAGCGCTAATACCGCTATTAACCGCTTCAAGCTTTAGACCAAAAATTTTCCCGAACCCGACCCGCTTACCCATTTATACTTAAAGCCCTCACTTCTCTTCACCCAGCCGCCTCCCTCAGTAAAGGACCAACCCTAGGAACCCCTCCGACATCAGCTCCATCACCCTCCTCCAATCATTAAGCCCCTTCATCCGCCGCCGCCGTCGACCGCCGCACTGTCGTCGTCCGGTTCTGCACCGACCTCCGCCTCTACGACAACGAGACCCTCTCCTCAGCCTCCAACGACTCCCTTTCCCTCCTCCCCGTCTTCGCCTTCGACCCCCGCGACTTCGGCAAGTACCCCTTCATTCGACTTGTGGATGCGGGTATTTGGTTCTGCTACGACCTCCGTCTTCCAGTTCCAGCGTTGACATCTCCATCTCTGTTGCCAAGGCTTCGTCTGTAACAGAGAAACAGGTAATCAACTCTCTCTCCGCCTCCAACACTGATTTTAGTACAATTTATGTGAAATAATACTGATTTTAGTAATCAACTTCTCTGTATAGCCCCTGAGCTTCTTGGTTATTTTCATTATTCCCTTTTGTTTGATCTTTTATTGTTACTATTTTAAGCTACATATTGCTGAAGATGGGCATATGATGGACATTATGCAATAGATGCCTTCCTGTTTTCTGTATATAGGTTTTCTTCAACACGCGGAGATTTTTCAAAGAAGTCCTCTTTCTTTGTCCTTAACTAATAGAAATTGACAGTTCTTTTTTAACAAATCTAGAAGTGAAACAAACAGAGCACTCTTTCAACTTCTCTGTCCTTAACTGATGTCTATATTTCTTGAACTTCTTCATAGTGCATTTATATTTCATACAACAAGCTTATCAAATGTCACTGACAATACAAGTAATTTACAACTAATTAATTTATGTATGTGATAAATGGCTTGATCTTCATAATCATTAGCTGCAATCAAAATTTTCCTTATTCCGTCCCTCCATTATGTCCAACTTCCAGAAAACCTGTATAATCAAAAAATAAAAATCAACATTTGAAATTATTATAACTTATTGTATGAATGAAGAAATATAGCATGTTTATTTATTGTATGAAATGAATGTAGAAATAATACAAGAAATATCCTATAAGGCACGTTTAATCCAAGTGATTCCAGTCATGATTCGTGAATACTGAATATTATGTAATTATAGTACTTTGTTAATATTATGTAATTATTACACATCTATTTCATGTTTAGGCATCAAGATTGCATTTATAGAATTTTTAAATTTTTATATGATTTTTCTTATTATTTAGAATATTTAAATATATTTATATTTGACCGCTATTTGATCGTGCGCTATTTGCCGTTATTTTGCCGCAATAACCCAAAATAGCCTTAGCGGTACCTCGCCGCGACGCGACGCGATCCGCTATCAACAACATTGATTCCAGATCTCCTTAGTCGTGCCATAGAGGAGGAAGTTTTCTCCAATCTCATTAGTCATGGAATTGATTAACCATGACATAACCATGTGATTTTCGATCTTCCAGGTTTTGTATTTAGGGTCATCTTTTTCTGGGATTTGGGTTTCCGAAAGAAGGTAATCTTCTTTCCCTTTGCCGCCAATGAACATTAAGACAAATTGTGACCACTAGAGGTAATTTTGGCCATTGAGTTTGTGGCTAGTGATGGGGTGAATAGCTATTTCTGGGGAGTGGAGGTGGTGGCTGTCGGATGTGGCAGTTTCGGACTGGGATGAGATTTCTGAAGATGTGGTCATGAGGGTAGGTTTGAGGATGGCGGCTGATTAGGGTTTCAGATAGCTCTGATACCATAAAGATTTGTGGAATATTGAATATATTTATTCCATGATAATTTTAGGTTACAAGAGAAAGGCCTATATATATACATCATTCAGTTCCTTAAAGATAGGACTAAATCAAACAACAAAATAACCACTACCTAATTCAGTTAGAATCCCTGAAAATCAATAATTATACATAAAAAATCTGCACCTAATTAGGTTCTAACCGAACCTTATAATTCTACATCTTTTCCCATCTAGAATAAAGAACAACCCCTCTAGTCTCTCTAGATTACAATAGCACCTCTATTGAATCTCCAAACTCTGATTGATGTTTAGAAATCCTAAACAACTTGTATTTAAAGAGTAATCATCATGGGTGACAAAGTGGTAAATATTCAAGACTACCCAAATAGGATTCCCCAGACTAGGAATCCTAACTGGCTCGGTAACTCGCTATCGGTTGACTGATGAAGGCTCATCAGTCGACCGGTAGGTCTTCATCGGTCGACCGATAAGGTGAGATCAGTCGACTGTCCAGTGCAGCTGTTTTCTGTCGGTCGACCAATGCCAAGCTTCGGTCGACGAACCAGAGGTATTTTCTTAGCTTCGAATTTTCCTGGGATTCGCGCAAACAGTTCCTCGTTCACCAACTGTACTGACCCACGCTTTTATTCTCAAGCTACCATAAGAACCATCTATCCTCAAGCTCCCATGAGTATCGCTAAGTTCCCGAAGCAGAGAAGATACACCCGTATCAACCATTGAATTGTCACTTGTTACCTACGTTACATGAGCACTTCTAATTGAAGTCGTATATGTACCCTTATCCGTACCCATACTCCTCAGGCACTCCTTGCATATATGAATACACTTATTCGGGCATTTACTCACTTATGTCCTATATGTTTTATGTCAAAGCATTTTTTATACATTTTTTGGATGCACATGCTATACTTCACATCCACTTCCTATAATTTGTTGGGCATGGTTTGGATTTCGAACTATTATTTTAAAGGATCATTTAGGTGTTTAGATCGAAAATTATGGTTTTCCAATTTATAATCTAGATAATAAAAAACATAAAAATATTATGGGAATTTTAGTTGTCATGACACGTGAATTGAAAACAATATGGATCTCACGTAAATTATTAATTTTAATATATAATATATGTTTATGTGTAGATAAATATTTGTATAGCTGTGTCACATACTCTATCTTTTACAAATTTGCCATGTCCTGTACCATACCTGTATAGGAACCCATACCGGTACCTGTTTCCGAGCAACGTAGCTTGTTACTAAAAGATAATTAGAGGAAAGGCTTTTCATTTACAAATGTTTTAATATGTTAGTTGCATTAACAAACTATCCAATGGTCAGGCATAGATTATATTAATATAAAATAGATTTGTAGATATGCACTTATATGACATGAAGGCTGTGGTGTGAGCTCTGTAATTACGCATCCAGCAAAGGACAACTTGCTTATAAAATTTGTGCCATTAAACACAGTGAGAGTATGTATGTACTCGTATCATAGAATTAGCTAAGATCCCCATTCACAGGCATGGTGCTTTTGTCCTGTCTATCTCGTCCATGTGAATATCTAGATACTTCATGAAATTATGGGTGTGTCTAAGGCTCCTACTATGGTGCATGTATGAGAGATAAGCAAGTACATGGTGGAAGTACAAAGTATCCATGCTTCATGGAAGGTTATGTTTGTTGTAAGATGAACAACAACAAAGTCACTGTCTCAAACCTTCTTTGATAACCAACAAGTTTCTTCCATTCAACTGATCTACTAAGAGCCATTTCCATGGTTAATTTAATCATCACCGGTTATCTTTTTAAAAATATCTAATATGAAAACAATATAAATGGGGATAGTGTACTTGGGCTGCCACCTTATTTAGTCATCACGTTTTTGGGTCTCTGACTTTTAGAAATAAACAACAGGGAAAGTGACAACTCTCTCTTTTTAAGGAAAAGAACAAGAAGAGAATATAAATATAGAAGGTTATTTTTACTACTTACATTTAGAGTTCATGTTCTGAATTGCATTGCTACTAATTCTGATGCCTAACCATGAAGTGTGGTAGAGAAACTTACTAGAATAACTTATCTCTGTGGAGATCAAAAACCTGTTCTCCATCTTCATGCATCCTAGATTCTATGATTTTATCATTGCGGCCAAAGACCTCTCTTTCACTTTCATTGACGAATATATTTGGCACAGTTTGTAATTTACAAGATTTTCTAAGGTTTCTGTTCCAATATTTTCCTACAGTTGTTTTTGTATATGTAGATGGAGTTTTGAACACCATAAAAATTTTTTGGAAGCCAGGTGTCTGTTAAGGAAGCTAAAGAAACAGTAAAGAGATGGTATAACGGTAGACAAGAAGTGTTAAAATGGCAAGAAGAGCGTAAAAAGGAAGCGGTGCAAAATGGAAAGGTTTATACATTGCTTGGACGGGCACGTAATTTTCCTTCAGTGTCTAATGTCAGTTATGCTCTCAGGGGTCACATTGAACGAGCTGCTATAAATACTCCAGTACAGGTACTTTATTGTGCATATGAAGCTGCTACTTATACATTGCCCATGTCTTCACTACTGCCCTTTATTAAATTTGTGACAATTTGTTCCCTCAGCTTTGGAGTGGGTATTGTAACATTTACTTCTTGATTTCTAGAGATGCTAATCTCCATTTTTTGTTTAAGCCCCGGGCTGACTCCAGAGTTGCATGTGAGCTATCGGAAAGTCTGAGACATAAAGCATATCACATTCATTTATCTCGTATGTGAAATGTGTTTTTTGGGGTGAAATGTATGCTTTGCCTTTTCTGAGGTCATGGCCTTTTCACATGTAAAATGTGCAAGGTTTCCCTCATGGTAGTGTGTCATGATTTGCCTCCTTACTTTGCCTTTTTTTTTGGTTGGTTTGTTTTGCGAGAGAGAGGTTGTTCTTTTTTTTGGGGAGGGGGTGGGGGGTATCAGGGAAAACTGAAATAGTGCTTTGTTCCAATTGGACATCAACAGAAAAATAATGAGTTAGATAGGTCATGCAAAGAATTCTTATACATGTATTGTATTGGACCAAAATGACATATTCAATTTATTTTATATTAATTATAAAAAAATTCAGTTTATATTTTTTATTAGTTGCCAAACTTCATCTGCTATGCTTAATGTCCTATACTCCCACAATGCAACTGTCAGTTTAAAGCTCAGATGAGAAATAATCACAGAGGAACTTCAAGTGACACTTCTTGTGGCTGATTTCAAACTTCGTTAGCTGATTGTTTCAGCGAAGAGGGCTGAGCTGGGTGCCAACAAGGGAGAAGCAGTTTTTCTAGGGTTCTATAAAAGAGGGATTTGATACCAACTTGATTTAGTATGTCAAGAAAATTAGTGTTAAACTGCAAGCCATTTTGGGAAAATATGACATAATCTAATGATGAGCATCTCATCAATTATCACATGGAAAACAAGCTCGTACAAGTGCTATGTGTTGCAGAAAGGACTGTATTTCACACTTTTATACACTTTTGACATCATAATAACTTCAAATGTCATTTCATTTTTCCAAGAACAGCTTAAGAAAAGGAAGAAAGAAAAATCTCACTTTTTCTGTGTATGTTTTATAGGGTAGCGCAGCAGATGTTGCTATGTGTGCAATGCTGGAGATAGATAGGAACCCTCGTTTGAAGGAGCTTGGATGGAAGTTACTGCTTCAGGTAATTTGGTCTGGAGTACTCTGATTATTTATTTATTTTTCTAACGAATAGATTTATCGATAAATTTATTCAAGTTTTCTAAATAGCAATCAGTCAAACAAGTAGTTCTGTTAGTAAACGAGAGGAAAAAGACACAGATGAACTATACCTAATAGCATTAAAGAGGTGAGGAGACTGTTGGTTCTTCCACCTATAAGGTGAATCAAAGATGGAAAGTGTTCTTGTAGTGATCAATTCTTCTTTATTGCTTTTACTTCTTTATGTTTGGTTTTCTTCATTTGTTGTATCCATAGTATATGCAAAATTTAACATAACAATGGAAACAGGTACATGATGAAGTTATACTCGAAGGACCCAGTGAGTCTGCTGAGGTTGCTAAGGCAATTGTTGTCAAGTGCATGTCCAAACCCTTTGATGGCAAAAACTTCCTCAGGGTTGGCCTTTCTGTAGATGCTAAGTGCGCACAAAGCTGGTATGCTGCCAAGTAAGCAAGTGTGTTCATAATCCAAAGATCCAAACTCGGATCACATCCTTGTGCTCTCAATCAGAGAATGGCTCGACTGTTTTTGTAGCGGGCTGCAGAATGAGGTAGAAGCCTCTGCAGCAAAGCAAGACGCAGAAGAAATTTTGATAGGAATTTTGCTACTATAAGGCACGTCCTGATACATATTACATGGAAGGGGTTGACGTTAGATTAGAGTGTACAGATGGCTTTTGCCCAGTAGATGTATATAATGTTCATTTATATGATTGCTGTCATACTCGTAACTTTGTGTATCATTATGGATTTTGATGAGGGGTTTATATTCCCTGTATTTTATTTACCACTTATTGTGGAATTATGTTCTATGTAGTGTTTAGCTGTTTCAAAAATTTATGCCCGCCTTCGGTGACCCAGTCGGTTGGGAGGTCCCGGTTTTGCTACTGTAGTTTTGTGTTTGATTAGGATTTGGGTTATTTTTTAAAAAAGAAGATTCAAAATTTTCCTCTTGTTAGAAATGTGGACGTATAAAATCTTAGAAGAGTACTTAAGCAAAATTTTGTTGGATATACAATAATTAAACAAGATTACCTTATCTGCATTATGAAGATTGTAATAGAGCAATCATAAAGAGTACTGAAACAAATTTTTGTTGGATACCATAATTAAACAAGATTGTGTTATCTACATTATGAAGATTGTAATTCAATCATAAATCAATTGTGAAGTATTTTCTACGTTTATAAACAAAATCATAATGTTAATAGAATATAATATTAATAGAAAATAAATTTGACCAGATTCTAATATGTGACCAGAAAATACAAGAAAAATCCAGTTACGAAGTTACGTACTATTTTGAAAAAGCAGGCATGGGCTGAATCCTTGCACCAAAAGTGTTCCAACAGGAATAATACAAACATCCATTATAATTATATCATACATTCGCTTCTTCCTGGTTAGGATCTGATGCTCAAGCTCTTGTCCAGCATGATGAAGAGGATGGTGCTTGTCGCCATCACCGGAGAAAGGATCTCAATGGTAGCAGCGGCGACTCAAGGAGTTCGATGCAATGAAGCTGGAGGAGAGGGTCGGAGGCCTTTACCAAGTGACTGATGGAAGCTGTGTTTGCTTCTTTTTACGCTTTTGATTGTATGTGAGTTGTTGCAAGCCTACTTTTTAAGTGTTGTGCTTGTTTTAGAAACTTATGGAAGTTTTCAAATAGCTTCTGATGCTAACTTATAGGTTCTGTTGCATCTTTTCTTTGAATAGTATGTTTCAGATAATTTCTGATAGTAATTTCTAAGCAAAAGCATCATAATTTCCACATTATGCTTGGGACAAACGACTGACCAAACTGTTTGTTAGGTCGTTAACAACAAATGATACGATTACTGAAGCTAAAAACAGCAAGAAGAGACAAAGAGCAGCAATTTCGTGTTGGAGCTCAGCTCCAGGCTCTCTTTTCTGCGTGTTTCAGTTATCTGCTCTCTTTGTGGCTATGAAGTGGAAAAATTGCAGGGTGGAAGCAAAAGATTTGCGATAATCTAGCTTTGAGGAGTCAGCATGATTTGCTTGCCCATTTTGATGCAGAGCTAGCCAAGATGAGGGGTCCTTTTATGGTTGTCGATATCAATATTGGTTCGTGTCGAACGAAAGAGAGTTTGGTTTTGTCAATTTTGGTTCATGTCGTCAAATTGTAATCTGATGTTATAACCATAGCTTATGTCCTTGTAGCTGTGGATATCAATATTGATAAGGTACTGTATGAGCACGAGATTATTATAGAAGAGTTGGATTTATCTGCTTTTCGGATTGTGCGATTTTCCTCCAGTGCAGTCATTAACATTATTGGGAATTGTCAATGGGCGATACGCCGTTGACAATTCCATGGATAGAACATCTGGGTTCATTAAAGTGTTATCGCTCTCGGAAAATCCACAACTACGGTATCACCTGCGTGAATCTTGGACCGGAACAAACAGATCACAAGTACTTCATCCCTTTTAATGTCAAACATCCTCAGTTGGACCACGCTTCGACATTTTGATACAACTGGTTGATCCATGAAAGGAAAAGCCAAGCTCTGAGCATATTCAGCAAGCGTACATTCTGTCTCTCTAAATCATTCATACGAAAAAAAGATGACCAAGAATAAAGTAAAAGGAAAACATAAATAATTTTGTATTACAATAGAAAGAAGAGTAACATTCGACTTTGCAAGGCTCACTTGATGAATTCTACTATTAAACAGCAGAAATCTCATATGAAACTGCACTGAGCAAGGAAAACTTAGAAAGGAAAACTACATACAACCAGAAGCTTAACATTCATTTAAGTACATGTAGAGAAGGGGGGCCAAAAATACTTAATAAACCATATTTCACAGGAAGACTACTTTTATGGACAAAAATGGAGTATTACAAGCCAGTTACAATGAGAACTTGCATTATCGCGACAAGACACTTCTTTTGTTAACAACTTTTGTTAACAACTGCACTAAGCTCTGGCCGTGCTGCCTCGCAACATCCATAGCTTTAAATCCCTCGTGAACGTAAGCTTGGTAAACAAACACATTCCAACCTCAAACTCTCACTGTACATGGTCCACTAGCAATCACACCGGTAGATCTGATGTTTGAGTCTGCTTCTCAATCAATGTCTGCACCCTCTGCAAAATTCAGACTTGCATATTTATACCAAATTTTACTGTAAGAAGCAAAAGCTGTGGCTATCTGCAGCTAGATGCAAGAACCAGATTTGACAATAATAAATTCAGGAACCAACTTTTTTAATTTTTTCACATACCTCTATCCCATGTATTTCTATCTTTGTAAATATTAGTCTTCTTTGTTATCAATGTATCACATGCACAAGGCTTAGCACTGTTCTTATAAATCAGAACAGAATCAAGAATGTCTGCTTGCTCAATCTAATAAACAAAACCGTGTAAACTCAAAATGCCCATATGGAGTCTGCTTATTTTGGGATCAAATGAGCGTTTTTCATTTTTATAACCCTTTCTGTAGATTTGACTCAGTGCCTGTGCAACAGGATTGATAGGTTCAAAACGGATAGAAGTTTCTCTCCTAATTTAGCCCGTCGTAGAAATTATAGATGGCTGCTTTCCTCTCCTCTGAAGTTACGTAATACCCCACGTAAGGGTCATTATGCACCCTTGTCTATTAACAAACTTGACATATTTTAAGATGTTGAGGACTCAAAATTCCATGCATTATTGTCTACAGATATATGCCACTGTTAGGAGCCCAGTTTCATGTGTCTTGTTAAGATATTTCATGAATATAGGAGGCTCTGTTCAATGGATTTAGCTAAGCATGAGATTTGGATGCTCAAATCTTCTCTAAAGGACTGGGAGCAAAAGTCAGTAACATGTGAGAGCCGAGGAGGGTAAGATGCTAAGAATATAGAATTTCCACAGTCAGTGGTATTGGAGAAAAGAGATCAGAGATTGATGGCATATAAAGAGAAGTAAATGCTCTTGGAATCAGACGCACTACACTTGTTACCATGGGTTTGAGATGAGAATGCTCGATGGTTAAAGTAACACCCAGGAAGGCCTCAATTTATGAATAACTCTGATTTATCAAATCCCTAAGGTATAGCTTAAAACCATGATTTGAACTGTTCTTCTTGGTTATCAAAAAAGACAGCAGTTGCTATAACTGGGGAAACCTAACACTGTTTCAAGCTCGAGGTTAAGGGTCAAAATATCAGATAAAAGCGACGTGAAGAGAAAACTAATAAACATTTGTTACCTTTACAGAGTTTCCAACCTCTTCAAGTTTCTGCAATACCATCTCCCCATAAGAAGGTGAAAGGTCTTGTTTAAGAGATCGTGAAGGAGTCTGCAATTAACAAAAGATCTTAGGTTTCAGTGTCAATCTTAACCTTGGTAGTCAAATTTCAAACTTTATCAGTATGACACAATTGTATTGATAACAGCCTACTGAACACCACTTAAGTATCTTAAAAGAGAGAAGAAAAACAAGAAACAGGAAAACATTTTGTTGAAACATAATAAAGCCACATTTTATTAAGTTGGACGCAAGCGCATAACAATAGTTCGCATACCCGAATTGGTGGAGGAGCAGAGCCCAGACTTAGTGGATCTTCGTTGACGAGAGATTGTCGACTGGAAGACTCATCCGTATTTGGGAGGCGCATCAGAACAGCCTAAAGATAACATAACTAGATTAAGAAATGTTCTGTATGATGAAAAATTGGTCTGTTGTTAAAATGTTCACCTTCCGGAACTCCCTAGGATCAGCAATTCCTTCTATCTGAACATCATCACTAGCAGGCTTCCTTACACCAGCATTCTCAATACGGATAGAGTATATCCCAAAACGTGATTGTAGATATCCTGGCGTTGAAGACAATACAGATGAATTGAAACATAATACCAAAGAAGAAAACAATGCACATAAAAGATATTGAAAGATTTTGGTAAGAAACTATGAAATATTTGGTTTCGACACATGTGAAAGAGACATCACTCCGGAAAAAAAGGATAGCAGGTTAATTCACACATCATACCAAAGAACAAGGACTTTGGCTCAGACGAAAGAACATAAGCTTCCAAATTGGGCAAACTAACTCATGAAACCTAAACTTCTTCACATATTGAAAGATTTCTGCTTGCCTGCAGAGCACCTGGGAACTCCCTACAGCTTTAGCCCACATTTTAAAGATGTACACATGCAGAATATATCAACTTGTCCATTAATTTCTGTTGCAGATTTCCTACTTAACCACCTAAACCATGGGAACCGAAGAGCCCCAGTTAATGAGTTAAAGTACTTCTGAGTTAATGAGAACAGTACGAAAAAAATACTTATCAGTCTAAGCTACAGAAACAAAAGATATACTGAAGGACTTAAAAATCCAATCTTGCGCCCCCGGCAAGATAGCATCTAAATTTCCTAGGTATATCCTCCGCCGATGATATACTTGAAGAATGAAACGTTTAAGTATAATTAAACTGCAAGATGGGTTTGCTGCCAGCAGAGTAGCATAAAGCTAGGCAAATATTGTGTATACTATGTACTACTGCAACACTTTGTCAAATGTTGAATCCTTTCTTACCTTGTTCAATCACAATATCTGCAACTGAAGGAAGCAGAACATGCTTCTCTTTCTTCAGAACCCCAAAACAAGGAAAAGCGACTGGCCTTGAGACCTGCAGAGCTCAAAATAAGAGGATGACTAAAAGAAGATTGACACAAATATCAATACCTTGAAATTATAAAAAAAGGAATTATATCGTCATCAGGATACAATGAGCAAGTGTAACATCCTCACTACTTGTTATATCAGATCAGTTTCCCGGTTGGATCACTTAAACTAGAATAAGCATGCAAGCACCCATATTGCGTGACTTTAGGTTTTAAACTAGAGCATAACACAATCCTTAACATATATCTTACAGAAGAAAAGCACGGGACAACTGATAAGAACGTAATTATTTCGTTTTCAAGCGGAAAAAAGAAAATGAATTGTTGATCAGATTGAATGGAAAGACAAACAATTGAACGTACCTTGTAAACAATGGAATCAGGAGTAACATACAACTTCCTAGACCGAAAATCCTTGCGTAGTATGTGCCTTCGTACCGGAACGTAAAGTAACATCAACAACCCAACTCCCCATGCCAAAATCAGAAGCAAAGAATAAAGAACCCACTGGGCTGTTTGATATTTCACATAGCTATCCTCTAAGTCTTCAAAAGATGCATCGTAGAGAACTGTTTCGTCGTCGGCTTCACCATACTCATGCCGGGCAGAGCCCGTTAACAAGCCTTTCTCTAGAGAATCTTCTTCGACAAGCCCATCCGTCGAAGTCATCCGAAACGACAAACTCCCTGCAACAATAACTTCCCATTAATCCTGTAGTCACTGCTCAAATCCCTTGAACAACACACTTCAATGGTCAAACTAAAAAAATTTACATGTTTCCAATGCCTGCTAAAGAGAACCAACAAAATTCCCTACATTAACGAGAGAACGAAATTTTCGTAAATCTGATTATGAGACCACGTTTCTAACAGAACAAAGAATTGGTTTGTTTAAGGACAAAGGTAATTTAGTTCTTAGATTAAATTAAGTTATTAAAACAAGATCAAATTAATTCTAACTGAGCTCAACATTAAAAACCCTAGCTTCAATCTACATATTTGTATCTAAATTACTGAAACTTCAAGCTCAGAGAGATTTTTAATAAATGATTCTACAGCAAACATGATATAAAAAAAAATTGGACTGATGCTGAACCTAAGACGCGAAGCCCTAAATTAAAACCCTCGATAGAATTCAAAGTAAATAAATAAATAAATAATTACGAATTAAGGAAAAAATCGAGAGATCGAATTAGAAGAAACCTTCGAAGAATTCGGGATTTTAAAGCTAATTTGATCCCTTCTTCGTTTTGTGGAGAGCTCGTCGGATCGAGCTTTCGTTGCGCGTGGCGGTTTCGGGCAGCGGTACACTGATATCAGAAACGGGCTTTTTCAATGGGCCATGAACTGGATCATTTTGGACCCACTGCAGTGTCAATAAAAGCAAAGGTTTTTTTATTTGTAAAATTAATTACGAAGAACGAACATACTATCTTAAGCAAGAGACTTGGTGCTTAGTTAAGTGATAGACTTCTTGAATTTAGTCCAAAATTCTGTCTTTGTTATCGTGAACATAAAAAATGCTTTTAGTTTTCGATCAGTTATTTATATACATCCTTTTGATACATTGCAGTTATAATACTATAAGTCACATCCCCTTCTTACAGAATGTTCCCTCTTATGTGGTTATATGTTCACTCTCAATCTCTAGGTCTGTTATGTGAACTTCATATATACTGATTTGGGTGCTTATCATTTTTGTCTTAATTTCTTTTTAGGATAGAGATAGCCTTTGGAAAATGATGCGCAAACATATTGGATCTGATGTTACATCTATGGTGACAATTCCAGTCATAATTTACTTGCATATTGCAAAGAATGTCCGAGGTATGTTCCGTTCTACTCAACGTGCTGTGAACGCGGAAGTGAGTGGGAGTGGGGACCACCCACGTGAAACCGAGTGAACATCGTAGTTTTCTTTTTTTTTGTTTGCGGATGCGATGGGGCCCACGTTGATGTACTAGAGATGAGAAATAAAGCCCACGACCCGATTTTTGTCAGCTATATAACCTTGTACTCGTAACCTAGGTCGGTGTGCGGGAGTAAGGCAGGGATTTGTTTCTTTTCTACTTTGCGGCTGGGAAAAACAATTTGGAGGCGTGCTTTTGTGCGGCTGTGGAACAGAGGCGGCGCAGGAGATTTGGTTTTTCAGGCAAAGATTTTGTGTTTTTGTAGAGAGAGTTTGTGAGGGATTTGAGAGAGTTTATTTGAGGGTTTAGTTTGTGAGTGATTGTAAACCCTAGTTGTATTCTCTCCCTCTATTAGTAGATCTCCCCCCTCCTTGCCCCGTGGACGTAGGCAATTTGCCGAACCACGTTAAAATTGGTTGTACTGCTTTGTGTGATTTGTAATAGCTTTTAGGGTCCCTCGACGCGCAGTCCTAGAGCTGACGAGAGGAAGAGCTAATATCCTACTTTGATAGGATATAGGCTTCAGATTCTTGTTCCCTTTGAGAAACAAGAATTCTTATTGCGACCTGACTCTCTTGTTGTGCTGCCGAAGTGCTGCCGAAATTTCCGCTGCGCGCAACAAGTGGTATCAGAGCCCAGATTTCAGATCTAGGGTTTTTTGGTGGAGGAAGATTCTTGTGTGAAGCTTAGTTCTTGGAGTTCTCGGCTTCGGTGGAGATAGCATTAGGAGTTGCCGTTGGAGATTTCGCTTTCCTCGTGTGGATAGGAGATCTATTTGGAATCCGATCTAGGGTTCAGTTGGGTGGTTCCTAATTCTATCAAATTTGTTCTTTCTCTACAATTTGGAGTTAGTTCGCAATGGGAGAAGAAGGTGAAAGCAGCAAATCGATGGCGGGTACAATACAAGTTGGTTTTCAAAACACCAAAATTAGTGTGGTGAAATATGACGGAAAAATCAACTTTGGTTTGTGGATGAGCGACGTACAGGATGCGTTAAATGCTCAGAATTTGGAAGAGACCATCATGGTCCACGAGAGGCCACCTAAATATGAAGAGGCGGTATGGGAGAAAATGAATAGGAACGCTTGTGGGGTGATCAGGTCCTGTTTGGAACAGGAGCTGAAGTATGATGTGATTGGGGTGACGTCTGCGATGAAGATGTGGGAAATTCTCAACAATAAGTACCTTACGAAGAGTGTTGAGAACCGATTGCGGAGATCTTCTATCAGCTATAGTGAAGTAACTAACGCATTGACCAACTATGATTTAAGGAGGAAGGACAAGGAGACTTCCCGCGCTAGTACTTCAGGAGAGGCCTTGTCGACGAGAGGTAGAAGCCCATATCCGAAAGGTGGTAATAGAGGAAGGTCAAAGTCTAGAGACCGCCACCAATTAACAAAGAACCAATGTGCATTCTGCAAGGAGCAGGGACATTGGAAGAGAAACTGCCCGAAGCTCAAGGAGAAAGAGAATGGCAAGAAAAAGGGCCCGAAGGCCAATGAGGTGAACATTGCGAAAGGCGATGATTCCGATGATTCGTGCTTTTCTCTACTGATTACTCCAGAGGTGAACCATGTGGATGCATCAGATTGGATGCTTGATTCCGGCGCTACCTTTCATGTGACCCCTAGGCGAGACTGGTTTGCATCTTTTGAGAAAGTCGACGGGGGCGTTGTTGTCATGGGAAATGATCAATCCTGTGGCGTTTGTGGGATAGGTACCGTACGGATTAGGATGCACGATGGAGTAGTCCGTGAGTTGAAGGAGGTGAGATTTGTTCCTCAACTAAAGAAAAATCTTATCTCAGTTGGAGCTTTGGAGGCAAAGGGATTCAAGGTGACTTTCGAAAACGCTGTAGCGAATGTTACTAAAGGATCATTGGTGGTGATGAGGGGAGTCCGCAATCGGAATTTGTATTATCTGAAGGGAAGCACCGAGATTGGCCAGGTTGCTTCGGCTATTTCAGAAGCGGACATGAGCAGACTTTGGCACTATAGATTGGGGCACACAGGTGAAAAGTCACTGCAGGCATTGTGCAAGCAGGGGCTATTGAAGGGAGCCAAGAGTGGGAAGATTGAGTTCTGTGAGCATTGTATTCTTGGCAAGAAGACGAAGGTGAAGTTCAGGACTGCCATTCATCAGACGAGGGGCATTCTGGACTACGTGCACACAGACGTTTGGGGTCCTACCAAGACTGCATCACTTGGTGGTAGACATTGGTTCGTCACTTTTGTAGATGACTATTCTAGGCGTTGTTGGGTGTACACCATGACGAAGAAGAGTGAAGTCCTAGATTTGTTTGTGGAGTGGAAGAAGAGATTGGAACTGCAGACTGGGAGAAAGATCAAGACGTTGCGATCCGACAACGGTGGTGAGTATACTTCTGACCCCTTTCAGCAGCTATGTCGAGACGAGGGCATAGAGAGACACTTCACAGTTAGTCATACACCGCAGCAAAATGGGGTGGCAGAGAGGTTGAATCGGTCTTTACTGGAGAAGATCCGATGCTTATTGTCGCAGAGTGGTTTGGAGAAGATCTTTTGGGCTGAGGCACTTACATATGCGAGCCACCTCATTAATAGGCTGCCTTCATCTGCGATTGAGGGGAAAACCCCTATGGAGATGTGGTCGGGAAAGCCAGCACATGACTATGACCAGCTCAAGGTATTCGGGTGCCCTGCATATTATCATGTTAGAACTGATAAATTGGAACCTCGAGCTAGGAAGGCCATATTTGTAGGATTCAAGCGTGGTGTCAAGGGATACAAGCTTTGGGATCCAGTTGATAAAAAGATTGTTCTGAGTAGGGACGTCACATTTGATGAGGCTTCTATCTTGAAGCTTCCCAGCTCTCATCAGGTGGAGAGCGACCCGACGGAGGAGATATCGCAGGTGGTGGAGATCGATGCAGCTCCACATTGTCCAGATGGTACAGTATCCATGCAGGTGCCGACTGAGGTGACGCCAGGCGAGCACGACGATGACACGGAGGATACGAGTACAAATGTGCAGGATCAGGAACCGACGGCTCAGGTTCAGGATTCTATTGCGGCTAGGAGACAGAGGAGAAACATACAGATGCCAGCACGGTATGCCGACACAGTTGCGTATGCACTTCCGGTGGAGAGTATCGATGAGTTAGTGCCTACTACATTCAGAGAGGCCGAGCAGAGTTCGGAGGCTGATTCGTGGCAGGTGGCTATGCAGGAGGAGATGGAATCTCTTCATAAGAACGATACATGGGAGCTTGTTGAGCTTCCAAAGGGGCGGAAAGCAATTGGTTGCAAGTGGGTATACACGAAGAAGGAGGGCATTGAAGGCACTCCGTTGAGATTCAAGGCTAGGTTGGTTGCGAAGGGCTATGCACAGGAGGAAGGTATTGACTATAATGAGGTTTTCTCTCCGGTGGTGAAGCATTCTTCGATTCGGATTTTGCTAGCTTTGGTGGCACAGTATGGTTTGGAATTAGATCAGTTGGATGTGAAAACGGCATTTCTTCATGGTGATCTTGATGAAGAAATATATATGACTCAGCCATTGGGATTCCGAGCTGCAGGGAAAGAAAAATTAGTTTGCAAACTGAAGAAATCGCTATACGGTTTGAAGCAGTCTCCTCGACAGTGGTATAGGCGATTCGATGGTTTTATGCTTGGTCATTCGTACACTCGGAGCCAGTTTGATCCTTGCGTATATTTTCGCAAGTTGAAAGGAGGTGCGTATATTTATTTGTTGCTCTATGTCGATGACATGTTGGTTGCCTCTATTTCCAGGTCGGCTATAGATGAGTTGAAAGTTCAGCTTTCAAATGAGTTTGAGATGAAGGAATTGGGCGAGGCGAAGCGCATTTTAGGGATGGAGATCGGCAGAGACAAGAAAAATGGCAGAATTTGTTTGACACAGGTGGCTTATTTGAAGAAAGTTCTACAGCGATTCCATGTTAGCATGGATACGAAGCCAGTTAGTGTACCATTGGGAGCCCATTTGAAGCTTTCAGCTGGTCTCTCACCGAAGTCAGTTGAAGATCGTGAGTTGATGTCGAAGACTCCATATGCGAGCGCGGTTGGGAGCTTGATGTACGCGATGGTATGTACGAGGCCAGATTTGTCACAGGCGGTAAGTATTGTTGAATATCATTTCTCCATGATAATGTTTTGATGATAACAATTTATATTTTGTGTGCACTAACTTTCATATGCAGATTTCAATATCAGAATATGTACAAGTGCGGGTTCTCGATTTGTTGTGGATTGAGTTCGTACTGGACACAACAAGTGAGACATTTGGTTGCTTTGGTGTCGGCTCAGTTTTGAGAAAACTTCACCGAGGTGGAGAATTGTGAACGCGGAAGTGAGTGGGAGTGGGGACCACCCACGTGAAACCGAGTGAACACCGTAGTTTTCTTTTTTTTTGTTTGCGGA